GTGTGTGTGTGTGGTGTGTGTGTGTGTGTGTGTGTGTGTGTGTGTGTGTGTGTGTGTGTGTGTGTGTGTGTGTGGTGTCATGATTCGGTTCTGTGTTGCTTCCTGTCAGGCTTTTATTTTGATGCTACGTCCTGTTTTGTTTCACCACAGTTTTGGTCTTTTTACTTTCTTCATCACCCGCATTAGTTTCACCTGCTCATTATAGTTTGCACCGCATCATAAGCAGCCTTCACCCACCAATCCCAGCCAGATTGTTCTAGACGCCACCTCTCACTCTCCAGCATTTTTCGGTTTTGGTACTTTGTGTTTTTGACCCGGCTTGTTCCTCTGACTATTCTGTTCTGCCTTGCCCTCTTGCTTCAGACTGTCACTGTGTATAATTATCGGACTTCCCTTTGGACTACGTATTTGGATTCCTCTGCTGTATGTGTTTGCTGGCTCTGATCTCGGACTGTTTATACCGACCTGTGATTTTTGTGTTTCACCGTGTCTTGTATGGTTTTGTTTAGCGTTAGTTCTCTTATTAAAGAGACGGTTTTGTTTTACATTTCCTTGTCTGGCCTTTTAATTGAGTTCACCCTCAACATTTTTGGCAGCATAACGCGCCGATTCCTGACATGTGGTGTGTGCGTGTGTGTTTGTCTTTATATACTTGTGCGAACCAACCCCTGATGGAACACCTTTCTTGTGTGGACATTTCATTGGTGACTTTCACCAATGCGGTTTCTGTACTATGATGGACTCTAAATCCTGACTGAAAATCCTCAAACAAATCATTCTTGTGCAAGTGGTCACATAACTGCTTTGCAACAGCTTTTTCAAGGATTTTGGAAATAAATGGGAGATTGGATATTGGTCTATAATTAGCTAGGACACCTGGGTCAAGAGTAGGCTTTTTGAGTAGAGGTTTAATTACTGCAAGTTTAAAAGCCTGTGGAACATAACCTGTTAATAGAGGGAGGTTAATCAGATCTAGTATGGATGTGTTGATTAGGGGAAAGACGTCTTTGAGCAGCCTGGTCGGGATGGGGTCCAGGAGACCTGTTGATGATTTAGATGAAGCAATTGTTGAGGTCAACTCAGAGAGATCTATAGGGGAGAAGTAGTCCAAGTATAAATGAGGTCTTCCAGATGTTTCTAAAGCCATTGTAGTAGATGGCACATCTGTGAGAGCTGTGGGAGTGGTCCGACCAATTTTTTCTCTAATAGTTGTGATTTTATTTGTAAAGAAGCTCATGAAGTCATTGCTGCTGAGATCTAAGGGAATGTTAAGCTCAACAGCACTGTGGCTCTTTGTCAGCCTGGCTACAGTGCTGAAAAGAAACCTGGGGTTGTTCTTATTTTCCTCAATCAGTGATGAATAAAATGTGGTTCTGGCACTATGAAGGGCTTTCTTATATGTTATTAAACTATCTTTCCAGGCTATGAAAAACTCTTCTGACTTAGTGGAGCGCCACCTCCTTTCCATTTTTCGTGATGCCTGCTTTAGGGAGCGGAGCTGCGAGCTGTACCACGGGGCTAGCCTCCTCTGTTTCACTACCTTCTTTTTCAGAGGGGCAATGGTATCAAGTGTATTACGCAGGAAGGCTGCAGTACTATCAACAAGATTATCGATTTGTGTGGGAGTAAGGTTAAGGTGGCCTCCTTCCACTGTGTTGGCAAACGGCACTGAAGTAGATAAAGATTGAATTATTTCCTTAAACTTGGTAACAGCATTGCCAGATGGACATCTGCTGTAGTGGAATTGTTTCCCACATAGAGTATAATCCATTAATGGAAATTCAAAAGTTATTAGAAAATGGTCAGACAGAAGAGGGTTATGGGGAAAAACTATTAAGTGTTCAGTTTTGATGCCATATGTCAGAACCAGATCAAGAGTGTGATTAAAACAGTGAGTGGGTTTATTTAGTTTGAGAGAAGCCAACTGAGTCTAATAATGAACAGAATGCATTGTTGAGGCTGTCATTGTCGGCATCTACATGAATATTAAAGTCGCCTACTATGATTATTTTATCTGTACTAAGCACTAAATCAGACAGAAAGTCTGAGAATTCACTTAAAAACTCTGAATAAGGAGCAGGTGGACGGTATACAATAACAAACAGAACAGGCTTTTGAGTTTTCCAGTTTGGGTGTGAGAGACTCAGGGTGAGACTTTCAAATGAGTTATAACTATGTTTAGGTCTAGGGTTGATTAATAGGCTTGAGTCAAAGATCGCTGCCACGCCACCACCTCGGCCTGTGTTTCGAGGGATGTGACAGTGTGCAATGCATTTAGTTAGCTAACCAGAAAACACACTTCCACTGATGTATGACACAAAAAAAAAAAAATCAGTGAATGACTTAGTAAGAGTCTAACAACGGTTATTTAAAAATTGTAACAAAGTTGGAAAAGTACTTGATATTTCTTAATTTCTTGGGGTTCATAGAATTAAAAATTATACCAGATGTTCATTCCAGTTGAAAATTGATGTGTGCATTATCATGAAAGCAGTAATAAAGATTTCTACTGATGCTTTTGAACTGCTCTGGTTCTGGATAAAGGTAACAAAGTGTTCAGACGAATGACTGACAATATTCACTGATGCACAAACGATTCACACGTTCACCACTAGAGAGAGACATATGTCCGTGCAGCAGGTGACCGTCACAAATGAAAACAAATGTGGTTAACATTAAATCACCAGACTGGTTCCTGAGCCGCAATTACAAGACAAAGATGACAGAGCGAGAGAGAGGAGATTTGCCAGATCTCACTTTGCCCCCTGGCACATTTTCACCCTCCGGGTAAGAGCACCCGTGGGTGTGGTGCATTCAGTGTTTAATTACAATTGTGTTTCACAAGTGAAAATGCTAAATAAGTCAGTAGAGCTACACAAGCAAGCAGACAGTTTTTTGTTAGGTATTTTTAGTCAGATATTGGTTAGATACTTTATGTATTAGAAATGTTTAGTGGAGACAGGATGTCTAGTTAGACTGTTAAATGCTTAGTCATGCTTATGAGATTCTACAGGGTACATCTGGTCAAGGATAACTAGAGAGAAGAGTTGATGACTGTCAGCAGACAGGGTGTTTAATATTATTATTATGGCGTGTATAACTGTAGCCTTAGCCATAATATGTTCTTATGTTTAATGTCATGACATGTTACTAGAAGTCTGTGAGAATGTTTTTAGTTACACACCACTTAATCAAGAGACACACACACACACATGCACATTGATTTGCTTCATGTTTTGACTACTGTTATGGCCAGCTGCAAAGCTGGTAAGAGAGACGTCTCGGTTGACGTTTCTGTGTAGTATGGGGCTAGCCCAACCGAAGGGATATAATGTATAGGCCTGGTGGGTTCAGGGTCTTTCATCTTACATCTGCCTGCGAGCAGGTTGGAGGTGCAAGATACCTGAGCGTGTAATGTTAATTTTACCTGTGATCCTTTGAATAAATCAGCACTGTTCTGAAGTTACTTGGACTGTCTGGTCTCTCAGAGTTAGCAATGGTAAGAAGAACCATAATCCTACACCTTCAAGGTAGTAAAAGTGGTTTGTATACAAAAAATCAGTTTTTCCTATTTCCACAGAAGGTGAAGTTTGGAACTGTGGACATAATTTGGTGGAATGTGGTTTAATTTCCTACAAAGCGATTTCTGAGAAAGGCAACGTGATCAAGTGTGGGAAGGAGTGTTTGGCAGGGCCAGTTCAAATACCTGTGGTATTTGTCACGCAACCTGAGTTTGGCATTTTCGGCAAGTTACATTACTCCTACTACTAAGTTATGTTTTAATCTTTGGCCGTCAACAGAAATCATTTATTTAAGCTTATTTGATATTTAAGT